AAGGCCCATTAGTGATATGAAACCATGTGAGGCTACATTTAAGTCACGATATCTCAGCAACAACTTGAAAACCAAAGACCAAATTTTCTGGAGATGTTCATGACATTATGAGCTAGATTATGAGTAAAAAATTAATCAATTTTGAAATATAGGTTTTTTTGTTATTGAATTTTTAATAATTTATTACATAGTAATAATTCATATGGGGATGGCATATTATTTGTTCAATCTATAGAGCTGGACAATAGCTTTAAATCAATATGACGACCATTTCTGTGCAGCTTATATTATGGTGAATATAGCCAGTCAAAGTCATAGTCCCCCCCCCAAAAAAAGTTAAAACTTTGTTCGCTTAAATGTCCTTCGATATTGATCCAAGACAATTTCAGTTTCATGAGTTACTCATGTGACCAAATCAGCATGCCAAGTTTCGATAAAATCCGTGACAATGAGGTCCAAAAGTGTGATAATTTGACATGGAATGACTCAGAGATGTTTCCCTATTTGAGAAGGATTTGGTTGCTGGTGCTGCCGATGACACTGTGGGAGTATTGCAAAGAAAGAGAAAGGCCTTGAGTTCCTTCCTGAATGAACGGACAAAAAGGGCTTTAGTCTGGACTGGGATGTCTCAGATTAGAGACATGGGGCAAGCTCCTAATTTTTCAGTTTGGGCAAGACGATGAGACCCAAGCCCCACATGTTACACCTTTGGTGTCCAGATGGGTCATTGACTGCGGCACCGGCGGAAATGCAGCGGATGGTCATGCACTATTATACGGAGCTCTTTGGTGGAGAAGAGTGTGATCTGTCTAGCATGGAGGTGCTGTTGATGGGATTGTCCAGCCTGGGAACAGCGCAGAGGGAGGCCCTGGATGGGAACCTTTGGCTCCATGAACTAACGTCAGCAGTTCAGCGTTTGTCGCTTGGGAAGGCGCCGGGAGCCAGCAGAATATTACAAACATTTCTGGAATTTATTGGGTCCGGATCTTTATGAGATTTTTAATTGGACTCTAAGGGCTGGAAAGCTGCCGACTAGCTGCACGAGAGCTGTGCTGACTCTCCTCCCAAAGAAGGGGGATTTGGGATTGTTGTCGAACTGGAGGCCCTTGTCCTTGATATGCACTGACTATAAAATCCTGTCAAACTGCCTTTCTAATAGGTTGGCATGCTGCATGGGGGACTTGGTGCATCCTGGTCAGGCCTATTGTGTTCCTGGGCACACCATAATGGACAATCTTTTTTTGATGCATGATGTGATGGCTCTGTGTAGCCTAGATTCACTTGACTTTGGGTTATTTCCATTGATCAGGAAAAAGCTTTTGATAGGGTAAGTCATGGGTAAATTTTTTCCATTCTTGCAGCCTTTGGTATAGGGCCAACTTTCCTGTCATGGATAAGGCTCTTGTATGCTGATGCATCTATGATGCTTAAGCTGGGGTCGGGGCTGAGCTGCCCCATAAAAGTGTGGAGGGGTATACGGCAGGGCTGCCCATTGTTAGGTCAATTATACTGTTTAGCCATCAAGCCCTTGCTGTGTTGGCTGAGGGCTGAGATGCAGGGGCTGCCAGGCCTAGGGCATATCATTTTGTTCCCTTATGCTGATGATGTTTCAGTGTTCGTGCGGGGGGAAGAGGATGTTCAGGCGCTTACTCGCGGTTTGGAGCTGTACAAGAAGGCATTTTCGGCACGTGTTAATTGGAATAAGTGTACGTGTTTTGTGAATGGTTTGTGGCAGGGACGGGTACCGCCAATGTTGCCAGGTGCCTTACAGTGGGTTCGGACGGGTATGAAATATCTTGGTGTGCATTTCAGATCGGAAGACTACGTCAGTAAGAATTGGGAGGGGCTGCTGGAAGACGTGTGTGCCAGGTTCTCATTGGTCGTGGATCCTGCCTCAGCTGTCCGACAGGGTCGTTTTTTTTCGGTCCGGTCAACATTGGACCCGTGCCTCGATGCCTTATCTACCAGTGGGGGATGGATTTGTTGACATTGCTGGCCGTATCGCTGCTTTCAGACTGAAGACAGCTCAGAGGTTGTTGTATGGCAAAGGGTTATTGTGGGCCGACACAGCATGCATGTTGATGCAGCGATTGGAGGATTTAAGGTATGACAGACCTGAAAAATGTGGACATATCAGCGACCACTAAGTTTTATCTGTCTGTTCCAAAAGTGCGGTCTTCCGTGTTGAGAATCGATAGGCCTGACTCTCTGCTGTGTATCAGCATGAGGTAGGAGCCCTTGTTTTACTACCCCCTGGTGGGTATTACAAAGCTTGGACATTTGAGAGAGGGTGGGACCTGGAAGTCTGCTTTAGTCTTGTGCACTGAGATAGGGCTCCGGTCAAGCCGTATCATTCAGTTAATCCTTAATAAAATTTCCTTGGCTCTGCCTGGAGGGTTTTGGAGGACTGTGGAGGACGGAGTGGGGGATCTGAGACAGCTTTTCCCGACCTTGCATGTTTTGGCAGGACATCAGGAAAATGATGGTCAATTACTCTCCTTCAGAGTGCTGCATCTGAGAGACTTTGTGGGGGCCTCTAAGAAGGCACTTTATGAACTGAGTGTAAAAGTTCTCAACAATGGCTCCCTGACATGGATGGCAGCTTCTAGGTGGTTGGGCACTTTGGCACTGGGCACTTCCCCCATGGGTTGCTGGAAGACCCAGTACAAACCGCCTATAGAGAAGCGTACAGCTGACCTGCAGTGGAGGGTGGTGCATGGGGATCTGGCTACGAACCAACATGTTGTGCATATCGATCCATCTGTGGTAGCAGACTGCCCTATTTGTGGACAAGATGAAACTGTGGTGCATCTTTTTTGAGGTACAAATGGCTTAGGACCATGTTTGTGCAGCTGACGGCATGGTTTGGTGGGTTCGGGGCCGATTTCTCCGACATCCTTTTTATTTATGGTTCAAAATATAAGGCACGCAAGAAAGCCAATTTGTGCATATAGAATTTTCTGGTGGGTCAGGCCAAACTTGCAATTTGGCTATCTCAAAAAAGTAACCTGAGAGGCCGACGGATGCTAAGTTTATACTGGTAGGGCTGGTAGCGATGCGGCTCAGGGTGAAGTATACGTACTCTGTGCTGACCCATACCCTGCAGTTCTCCACAGTGTGGGCAATGCAGAGTGTTGTGTGAACTCGGCGATGATCAAAGCCTAGTGTTGAAAGTGTGACGTGCATGGTATATATTGTGGACCTGTGTGCGGAAATTTTGTTTTATTTAATTTTATTTTTATTTTTTATTTTTAAATAAGGCTTAATCGTGCATTTGTGTTAATAAAGAGATTTTAAAAGTCAAAAGTTTGCCCTGTTCCTTCCTGTCTCACCCTACCTATCTCACTCTGCCTAATATCTCCCTGTGTCACTCTACCCTCTCTCCCTCCTGCTCACCCAACTTCTTCTTTCGCTAGTGGCCCAGCTCCCCTGTGGAACTGACCTGTGATTGGTTATTTCTACAGGCAAGTTGCATTCGAGGCACAGTACAGGACCAGATTCCATTGTGCTGGCAGATGTGGGCCAGAATGGCAGGAGGGGTGATGAGCAAACTGTGCGGCAGCAGGGAGGAACCTGGGTCACCACCACACCATGTGGGTTCCGTGTGGCTACTGTGAATGCCCAGCCGTTGGATGCTCAATCAGTGCTGGCATGCAAAGCCATGGACCCAGCCAGCGGGGCAGTGAGTATCCCACCTCTCGTCAACCCATCAAACTGTTACTTATACTTACATGGTGGACTCGATGTTTGTTCTTTTATGGCCAGTCTTAACATTAAAACCACTGACAGGTAAAGTGAAAGACATTAGTTATCTCATTACATTGCCACCTGTCATATGGTATATATACAGTATACTAGGCAAGATCATTGTTGTGACTATTGAATTAATCAATCTTGTTGCTAGTTTGTCTTTTTCAAGCATTATGGTTCTTTCCAATCCATCAAGTATTTTCAAATTGTGCCCAAAATGAAACTTAACTAACTTAAACACTTAATTAATTCATTCATTTGGGGCTTTGGATTCATTCAAGCAGGACCACTGATGGCCATTTTCTGCCATAAGACTAATATACAGTCATGTGAAAAAGAAAGTACACCCTATTTTAGTTTTATGGTTTTACATATCAGGACATAATAAAAATCATCTGGTCTTTACCAGGTTCTAAAATGTTTTTAATCTAACCTAAAATGGAGAAGCCACAGGTGGAAAAACTAAGTACAATTCAATAGCTTGTAGAACCACCTTCAGCAGCAATAAATTTGAAGTAATCATTTTCTCTATGACTCTATCAGTCTCTCACATTGCTGTGGAAGAATTCTGGCCCATTGTTCTTTACAATATTGCTTCTGTTCATTGAAATTTGCAGGCATTTGTTTATGCGCAGCTCTCTTAAGGTCCTGCCACAACATTTTAATCAGGTTAAGGTCTGGACTTTGACTGGGTTATTGCACACCTTGATTCTTTTCATTTTCAGCCATTCTGATATAAATTAACTGGTGTGCTTGGCATCTTTGTCCTGTTGCATGACCCAGTTTTGGCCAAGCATTAGCTGATAGTCTCACATTTCACTCTGCAGTACTTTGGTACTGGAGTTCAGGGTCAACTAAATGACTATAAGGTTCCCAGGCCCTGTGGCTGCAAAGCAAGCCCATATCATAACNGTGTTGTGTGAACTCGGCGATGATCAAAGCCTAGTGTTGAAAGTGTGACGTGCATGGTATATATTGTGGACCTGTGTGCGGAAATTTTGTTTTATTTAATTTTATTTTTATTTTTTATTTTTAAATAAGGCTTAATCGTGCATTTGTGTTAATAAAGAGATTTTAAAAGTCAAAAGTTTGCCCTGTTCCTTCCTGTCTCACCCTACCTATCTCACTCTGCCTAATATCTCCCTGTGTCACTCTACCCTCTCTCCCTCCTGCTCACCCAACTTCTTCTTTCGCTAGTGGCCCAGCTCCCCTGTGGAACTGACCTGTGATTGGTTATTTCTACAGGCAAGTTGCATTCGAGGCACAGTACAGGACCAGATTCCATTGTGCTGGCAGATGTGGGCCAGAATGGCAGGAGGGGTGATGAGCAAACTGTGCGGCAGCAGGGAGGAACCTGGGTCACCACCACACCATGTGGGTTCCGTGTGGCTACTGTGAATGCCCAGCCGTTGGATGCTCAATCAGTGCTGGCATGCAAAGCCATGGACCCAGCCAGCGGGGCAGTGAGTATCCCACCTCTCGTCAACCCATCAAACTGTTACTTATACTTACATGGTGGACTCGATGTTTGTTCTTTTATGGCCAGTCTTAACATTAAAACCACTGACAGGTAAAGTGAAAGACATTAGTTATCTCATTACATTGCCACCTGTCATATGGTATATATACAGTATACTAGGCAAGATCATTGTTGTGACTATTGAATTAATCAATCTTGTTGCTAGTTTGTCTTTTTCAAGCATTATGGTTCTTTCCAATCCATCAAGTATTTTCAAATTGTGCCCAAAATGAAACTTAACTAACTTAAACACTTAATTAATTCATTCATTTGGGGCTTTGGATTCATTCAAGCAGGACCACTGATGGCCATTTTCTGCCATAAGACTAATATACAGTCATGTGAAAAAGAAAGTACACCCTATTTTAGTTTTATGGTTTTACATATCAGGACATAATAAAAATCATCTGGTCTTTACCAGGTTCTAAAATGTTTTTAATCTAACCTAAAATGGAGAAGCCACAGGTGGAAAAACTAAGTACAATTCAATAGCTTGTAGAACCACCTTCAGCAGCAATAAATTTGAAGTAATCATTTTCTCTATGACTCTATCAGTCTCTCACATTGCTGTGGAAGAATTCTGGCCCATTGTTCTTTACAATATTGCTTCTGTTCATTGAAATTTGCAGGCATTTGTTTATGCGCAGCTCTCTTAAGGTCCTGCCACAACATTTTAATCAGGTTAAGGTCTGGACTTTGACTGGGTTATTGCACACCTTGATTCTTTTCATTTTCAGCCATTCTGATATAAATTAACTGGTGTGCTTGGCATCTTTGTCCTGTTGCATGACCCAGTTTTGGCCAAGCATTAGCTGATAGTCTCACATTTCACTCTGCAGTACTTTGGTACTGGAGTTCAGGGTCAACTAAATGACTATAAGGTTCCCAGGCCCTGTGGCTGCAAAGCAAGCCCATATCATAACACTTCCCATAATTGCTTCTCTAAGATCATTGCTGATGTCTTTCATCTTTGGCATTGTGGTAACACACCTAGATGCTCCAGGTCAGCCAACTGCCAAAACTTATGCTTTTATACAGTAGATGTGGTCACACTTGCTGATGATCAAGTGCATTTGATCAGCAGCACCTGGCTGCTACTTACCCTCTTAATTCCTATGGAATTTTTCACACACTGCTTCTTGCATTTTGGCTTAGTTTTTGTTAAAAAAATAATGACATGGTATAATATGTCATATGTTGTTGTGTTTACCTCATTTTAAAAACTGCTAAGGACCAGATGATTTTTTTATGTCCTGACGCGTAAAACTTTTTCACATAATTGTATATGTCTTCCATATCTGCAGGGGTCAGTTTTAGGACGTGTCACAGATGCCAAAATCCATGGCTGCTCAAGTCCCTTATATAACACAGCATAGTGTTTGTATATAATCTATGCACATCACAATTGCATCAACTGCGTCATCGACTGTCTCTTGCTTAATGGTTTAATTGTGCTTCTTGCTCCAACTTTAAATTTAATGAATTCATATTTATGATAATTATGATGACCATCATTAGGCTGTTTTAGTGCCCCCTCCAGTACTTGCCCTCCTCTGCACAATGTGTGATATGCATGAATGTAGCAGTGGACCTGGACAACTGAACCGGACAATTGTTGAACGGTGATAAGAGGGTGGATGTTAGGGGGTGCAGTACCATAATTCACCAGTAGTGGAGTAGAAGATGGCACCTGACACTGCACCTCAAGACAATTTAGAGCTGCACCAATAAGCTGTACCTAGCAACAGGTCATGCCAAGACTGATACAAGCGTGCATTAATTGTATTTGCATGACAGCCGAATAGGCATCTTTCCCAGGCAGAGCTTGGCCAAGCTATTTCTTGTGCTCATCATTAATGCAACCTAGATGATCCACGTGACAGCTGTGGGTCTCAGGTCTTTGGCAGGAGTCATTCGCTATGGAGTGGAATAACCAAAGCAAAGATGCTGATTTAAATCTTCAATGTGCACTCTTAAACTGTTGGTCCTTGACGGGTAAAGCAACCTCTCTACCGCGAAAAATCTGGACATACTACTGCTCGTTGAAACTTGGCAAACTCTGAACGACTATTTAGAGCTGAACCTGCTTACACCTCCTGGCTATAGCATTCTGTCTAAGCCCCGTTCAATGGGAAGGTGTGGTGGTTTGGCGGTGGTCCATCATGACGGCATTAAAGCAAGTGTTGTTGACTTACAAAATATCTCATCATTTGAATATTTGGTTTTTAAAATCACTGGCCATACTTCGCTGTATATTATACTAATTGATAGACCACCCAAGCTCCATCCTAATTTTTTTTCTGACCTCAATGAACTACTTATTCTTGTTTGTGGCGTATCTTCTGCAATTATGTTACTTGGTGACTTCAATATTCATATGGAAACTGACTGTCCGTCTGCTCGTGGACTGTTTCAATTTTATACAGCATGTTAATTTTCCAACCCATACCAAGGGTCATACACTGGACCTTATTGGTTCCTCTGGTTTGTAAAATGTTCATGCTTGTGGCTCTCTCTGGTATTTCAGACCATAAACTAATTAAATTCTTGGGAGCTGAATTTCAAGCGTTGCTTTAATTAAATACACACACACCTGTCTGATTCCCATTACTACCTCAAACGTGCAGTATTAAAATAGGATCTCTGAAAGATGTTAACGTGGTGTAAGACAAGGAGGGAGCAGGAGGGGGAAGCTGCGGAAGGCGACAGCGGAGCTGGGGAAGGCGCCGTCCGACACTAAGCCGTAGCAGGGGGACCCGGAGGCGGGCGACGGTGTGCCGTCGGAGGGACCGCAGGCGGGCGACGAGGCACCGGAGGGGGACCCGGAGGCGGGCGACGGTGTGCCGTCGGAGGG